TTTGATATCTACTCATACACAATCCATGGCATACTCATCAACGAACTAATCCCACGAGTAAGTAACTCTATAAGTAACTCTAAACATTATAGATTAATTTCTTCCTTTACAAAAAAAATTATTTTAGTGCACTTTTGTTTCGTATGCATATAAAAGCACATTAAATCCTCTCTTTATTACCTTCCCATATCTTTTTTCCATTTTATCCTTCTTTTTTACGGATACAACATCAATTGCACAATTCATGATCAAACATCCGAAAGTAGTCTTCTACTCGTTGGAAATGTGGCCGCATTATGTTTTGGATATACATGCAAGCAATTCGTATTAGACTTTGGATATGTTGACAACAACCTCCTTCCATAACAATTACTAAATGCCATAGATAAACCCAAGATTTTTCAGGTTCGACGTAATCTTTTTCACAACACATCATTAGGTCGCCGCTTTGTTGCAACTCATGTATTCGATGTCAACAACATAACCCTATGAATCATCAAACACGCCAAAAAACCAACGATGGTAGAAAGCGAAGACCATTGTAATTCTATGTATCCATCGTTTTATGATATTAAAAGCATTTTGTTTTCTTGTCGTTTCCTTATTCACAAAGATAAAAAAATATACATCTATAGATATAACAAATTACATAGCATCCGGTTTAAAATTCAACCAAACATACTTGATAATCTATATAAAACGAGTACCCGACCGCAGTGAAGCGCGGTACCCCACTAGTAAAAAAACTAAAAGAAGTGGAGTTTTTCCTATTTATTTACCGTAGCTACAAACTCAAAGTACCTATTCATGTATTTTTTTTCTTTGCATCTTGGTCCCTCATTCTTTGAGAGATAAATTAATTAGTCCCTTTAGTTTGAAAACTAATTTTTTTGGTCCTTTTCACCATTTTACTATTTTTATTTTTTCTTTAAAAAAATAGAAAAAAATAATAATTCTTTGGGGAATAAATTAATTAGTCCCTTTGGTTTGAAAACTATTTTTTTTTCTTTTGGCCATTTTCGTTTACCGTAGCAAGTTCCCCATCTTTTTTTCTAAAGTCGTCCATTCTTCCGGATCGAATGATATATATTAACTTCTTCACCATCATTCTTCATTCTCCAAGGAATAGACTCGCAACCTTCATTGCCTTAGAGGTAATATAATTTATTGACTAATTTATCTTCTTTCTCAACTATTAAAGTATTTATAGGACTTTTATTATACTTAATAATTATAATATATTATCATTATATTTTACAAAAAATAATAGTGTTTTTTTTTTTTCCTTAAACGTCCGACCTCTTTTTTTTCAGCTTCTATAATTGCGGGACTATTATTATATGGCCAAATATATTATTTAGATCCTCATTTATTAAAAATATATATATATTAAATAATATAATTATTTATAGTTAATAATTATAATACATTATCATTATATTTTTTAAAAAAAATCAAATAAATATTATAAAATAGTTATCTGTATTTTGATTATGAATATTGTATTTATGCGAGTGCTTTTTTGTTTTGTTTTGTTTTTTTAAAGTCTCGGCCTCATTTTTTTTTTTTAGTTTTTATATTTGTAGGACTATTATTATATGGTCAATTATATTATTTAGGTCCTTATTTATTAGAAATATATTTTTTAAAAAATAATAAAATTATTTATAGTTAATATATTATTTAGATCCTTATTTATTAAAAATATATATATATATATATTAAATAATAAAATTATTTATAGTTAATAATTATAATACATTATCATTATATTTTTGTAAAAAAAATCAAATAAATATTATAAAATAGTTATTTGTATTTTGATTATGAATATTGTATTTATGCGAGTGCTTTTTTGTTTTGTTTTGTTTTTTTAAAGTCTCGGCCTCATTTTTTTTTTTTAGTTTTTATATTTGTAGGACTATTATTATATGGTCAATTATATTATTTAGGTCCTTATTTATTAGAAATATATTTTTTAAAAAATAATAAAATTATTTATAGTTAATATATTATTTAGATCCTTATTTATTAAAAATATATATATATATATATTAAATAATAAAATTATTTATAGTTAATAATTATAATACATTATCATTATATTTTTGTAAAAAAAATCAAATAAATATTATAAAATAGTTATTTGTATTTTGATTATGAATATTGTATTTATGCGAGTGCTTTTTTGTTTTGTTTTGTTTTTTTAAAGTCTCGGCCTCATTTTTTTTTTTTTAGTTTTTATATTTGTAGGACTATTATTATATGGTCAATTATATTATTTAGGTCCTTATTTATTAGAAATATATTTTTTAAAAAATAATAAAATTATTTATAGTTAATAATTATAATATATTATCATTATATTTTACAAAAAATATCAAATTATTATTATAAAATAGTTATGTGTATTTTGATTGTGAATATTGTATTTATTATACAATATAATATTTTGTTATTATTTTATATTAGGATATAAATAATATATTGATATATTATTTTACGAATTTGAATATATATAAAAATTGATAAGTATTTTAGTAATATGATATATTTGATAATTATACCATATAATTAAATTAATATTACATTGTATTAGTTAAATATTATTTTAAATATATTGGTATAATAATATAATATTTATTAATAAATGATTTATTTAAATGTCGGATGACAATTGTTCCCTTTTTATATAAATAATTTTTTTTATTTTTTATCATGAAATTAGGTGTGAAATTATAAAAAAGAAAATCGTTATTTTTTTATTTTATGAATAGTTTGACAAGTAATAGAATATATATGATATTTTTTAAAATTTTAGTTTAAACATATATATCTAATTATATTATTTTTATTATTTAAAATTTATTTCTTCGGTTGTTTGTTTCTTATTAAAATTCTCATCGAATTAAGTTTTAAATTTATATGATTTTATTTGTTAATAAATTTTATTTTTTTATACATGGCTTTTGAAATAAAATTTTAAAACCTAATTGTTTTAGAACTCGATTGTTTTATTTTTAAAAAATATATTATTATAATTTATATGATTGATTGTTTTTATGATTTTTCAGTAAAAATGACATTGTTGCATATATAAATTCCGATGAGAAAGAGAGAGCTAAAAGTGTGTTACATGTGTTATAATTATTCTAAAAAAAAATAACTAGGGTTTTCCCTCTTCATTTACTCTAGCATTTTATTTATTTAATTTTTTTTTTTATCGCTAGCACTGGAGAAGCGAGGCTCCAATAGCTGGTCCGGCTCATTTTATCGTAGTTTTTTTTTTAGGGTTGGCATTTCCTTTTTTTTTTTAATAGAGCTGGCCTTGAGAAACGAGCTCAAGCGAGCCTACACAAGTAGTCCCAACCGGCGTTTGCCTTCTTCTTTTTTCCTTCTAATAATTTATTTTTATATTTTTTATCATGAAATTAGGTGTGAAATTTTAGAAAAGATCGTTATTTTTTTTAGTTTTGCGTACAATTTTATAGTAATAGAATATATATAATATTTTAAAAATTTTAGTTTAAACATATATATCTGATTTTATTATTTTTATTGTTTAAAATTTATTTCTTCAATTGTTTGTTTCTTATTAAAATTCTCATCGAATTAATTTTTTAATTTTATATAATTTTATTTGTTAATAAATTTTATTTTTTATATATGGATTTTGAAATAAAATTTTAGAACTTGATTGTTCTATTTTTTAAAATATATTATTATAATTTATATGATTAATTTTTTTATCATTTTTAAATGAGAGTAGCGTAATTGCATATATAAATTATGATGAGTGAGAGAGGTTAAAAATGTGTTTTAGATAATTTTACTTAATTTTTTAAAAAATAATAATCAATTAAAAATTAATTTAACTCAATTTTTTTTTAAAAAAATATGTATATATACCAACTAGGCATGACTCTGCTCTTTTTTTTTTCTTCTTCTTATAATTTATTTTATATTTTTAAAATCTAGCCACCAATCTCATGATAGAACAAGAAAAAAAAGTTGACTAATTATTTTAAATCTTAATGTGTTTTAAGATTGGATCACCAAGAGGCAAAAGGAAACCCTTAAAAGAATATACATAGTCATAACATAACTGGATCTCCAGCAAGTTATGTACATGTTAAGCCATCATATATCATTGGTCCCTTCATCAGAAAAGAAACCATATATATTATTGGTCCATTTAATGTCCTTGAACCAATATTAATTATATCTTTGACATTGATGTTAACATACATATCCGATAATTTTATTTTTATTGTTTAAAATTTTTTTATTCAATTATTTGTTTCTTATTAAATTTCTCATTAAATTAAATTTTTGATTTTTTTATTTAATTTTATTTATTAATAAATTTAGTTTTTTAATGTATAAATTTTGAAATAAAATTTTAAAACGTCAATATTTTATTTTTTAAAAATATATTATTATAATTTTTAGAATAAATTATTTTTATATTTTTAAATGAGAGAGAGAAAGAGCGCTAAAAGTATGTTTTAGATAATTTGACTCAATTTTTTTTAAAATAATAATAAATTCAAAAAACTCGCAAGTTTTATTTATTTTTTTATATATATTTATTCAGAATTTATCAGAACCAATTTTGTTATAATTTTTATTCCAATCTATTGACAATTTAAGTGACTTTTTTTCCTATGCGTGTATATGTATGTGTTATTACTTTCATTAAAAATTAACTATATATAAATTTAATTTATTTTAATCATAAAAAATAAAATTTTCTACTTAAGTTACACCATACAAATCGTTAATCCTATGTATATATAATAATTATCTACCAACAACATAATGTGAATATCCAACTAGTACCCTCTAAATACTAATGATTCCCAGCAAAGAGCAGGCTGGTATTAGCAACTCTTCAAAAGCTTTTCAATTTTTCAGAACTTCTAGGTTCCGTTCGGTAAGTAGATAAGTAAACACAGCTGTTCGCTGACATCGAACTGAACAAAGATGTCATCAAATTTTTAACTGTCGTCCCATTGAACTACTAAGTGATACAACATCGGAACATCAATACCACGATCCAAGCAAACAACAACACCAATTACCTGGTGATCTAATAGGCAAAAATCATTTTCAAAGCAAAATAAACTGGAAGGAATTTAATTTGCCAACAAGGCTATAGAGAAAATCGTTACCATTCAAAGCCACTCCACTAGAAAGCTGAAACTCATGGAAAAGACTACAATAAGCTCAAGTTCCGAGCAACAAAAATAGGAATAGAAAATATATCATCATTGCTCCGCACTGAACAAAATATAATTTATAACTTCTTCAGTCCAAGAAACCTCCTGCTCCCATCGTTATCAGTGAGATCCTCAGATTCTGCAAAAAGAAAAAACAGCAGGTAAGCATGAATCAAAACTGTAGTTGCATAATGCAGCAAAATATACGTACTGCCAATATAAGCTCCTCTATACTTACAGATTTTGTTGAAGGCCACAATGTCACAACTCTGGACGTACTCGTTGATTGGTTCAACTGTAAGACATTCCTCAATAAGAGTGTCCACAGAAACCAAGTCATCCACAATTGTTAGCATAATAGTCAACTTCTTAATGCCATATCCTACAGGTACAAGCTTGGCTGCCATTAAAAACAAAGGTAAGAATCAGAAAAGGAAGCCAAAATCAAAAGTACTCCTTTAAAGAGAAAAAATAAAACTACACATTCAACTTTTACAGCACCTAAAAAAACAAATTAAAAAATGAAGGAGATACCATGCTGGCTTATAAGGTTCAACAAACAGATACAAGTAACACTCTAAACATCAAAAAAAGACAGAGAGAAGAGCTTATGCACAACTTTGAAGGAAATCCTAGATCAGCACAGACCATCTTCTGCCATCATTTAAAATTATTAGTTTCTCCTTAAAGGTGCCAGGAGAACAGCTTATGCCAACTGGCCATGAAGAAAATGTGTATAATAATAATCAATTCTTCCCTAACTTTTTACAATTCATGGGGGAAGGAGGATAGATGAATATCCTAGATAAATGATAACAGTTCAAGAAAAAAAAACCTCAAGAAGAGTTGCATCTGCATTGATAATCTAAACAAAGATAGGATTAAGTGGCTCTCCAAAGAACTTACATGCTCCCCAGAGAAGACCTTCCATCTGAACACTTCTAACTGCTTCCTCAAGCTTCTTCATGTCAGTCTCATCATCCCAAGGCTTAATATCCAACAAAACAGATGACTTCCCAGCTGAGAACAGAAAACAAATGAAAAATATAATCTCAGATATTAAAGTATCATAAAAAAACAAAAAAAACATGTCAAACTCTAGCCACATGGATAAAATTTTATAAATAGAACTCCAAGAAATTTCTTATCGATGCCTCATTAAAAAAAGAACTTTGGCCAAAGCTTACATTCTTTCTTCTTTGAGGATGCCTTAACAGCAGCTGCGCGTTGTTCGGCAGCCTTCTTTTCCTCCTCAGTCTCCTCACCAAAGAGATCCACATCATCGTCATCGTCATCGTCATCCTCAGCAGCCTAAAAACCACCATAAGTAACAACCCATGAAGTTTTTACAAAGCAAAGTAAAAATAAATTCGAATCGATCTAATCTGCCACCTAATTTACTCTATAAAACCACAACAAATCAATTATCCTAATCAAGAAGAATCAACACTTGCCTTTGTGTCAGCAGATGGGGGAGTGGCAATAGCCTCCTCTGTGACGGGAGCAGATCCCTCGACAATAACTCCACATCCTTCAGCATCAACACCACTGCAAAAGAACCCAATAGCTCAACAATTTCATTACCATAACAGTACATGTAAAACTTCACATACCCAAATCATTGAAATTAAATTACATAAACAGAAAAGGGCAAGTCACAAAAGCTTACGAGATCCTCAAGAGTGCATCAATATGTGTGTACCACCGAAGCACGTTAACATATTCAGCTGATGGAGCACTTGAAAGAGCTGCGAACACGGTGAGATCATCCTTGGAAGCTTGGTACCTGAGAAGATACAAAAAATACAAACGATTGTTAAAGATAAATCCTTAGTCCAGGCAAAGATAGTCCACTTTTAACCGTACCGAAAAGGTGGAAAAAAATCTCCGGACGTGACAAACCACGGCAGTGATGCAAGCAAAAAAAAAGATAGAAATCCCTGATAAAAATAAAACATACCCGGAAATGTAACTGCGGGAAAGGAGATAGTCATCGAGTTTCTTGAGACCAGCAGCTGAGGTGAGATCGTAGAGAGTGACTGCCATTGCTTAAGAGCTGAAATCAAAATTGAAAACAGATGGTTGTTAAATCAAATCTGATAAGTGGTAAGCGAAATCGTGAAGGTACGAATGTTAGAATCGGTTGGATTCGTTCGTACTTTAGAAACGAGAAGCTGCAACGACAAGAACGGAGACAGAGGCAGGGCGCAGCGTTAGAGGGTCTAGGGTTTCTTTGGCGAATAAGAACGGGAATTTATAGGAGGGAGAGATGATCTGGTATTTTGTGAGCACTGTTATTTTATGTTATTGGAACCCTCTCACTAGGCCCAACGTAATGCCACTATTGATTTGCGATACGTTCTGTTTGGCCCAGACTAAAAGGAACCCTCGTCTGGAAATGCAGAAGTGCTAATATGAAAGGGGAATTTTTTTTTTAGATGAACTAAAATGAGATTACATTTTGTACAGTATGAACTATAAGAATGATTTATTACGTGGATTGTTCTTCAGTCCCATTTTCATATCTTACTCTCGATGTTTATACAAGTTTTAATATTAAGAGAATGTTGTGGATGTAAATATAATAAATGTGGGTAATATATTTGATGTCTAATCGACAGCGATCAATTTTTATTTACCAAATCTAGCTATGAAAATGCATATACATATATTGCATAAAAAAAGAGTAAACATTATAAGCAGATGAATTTCCGTGCATCGTGTTAACCGGTATCATTTAATAGTGTGATTATTAGTAAATAAACAATCATTTAATAATATTGGCACCCAATTTCTACCTCAAGTACTTTAATTAAACATGTGAGTTTAAAAAAAATAAAAAAAGAGAGAGAAAAAAGAATTATTCAAAAAAAATTCGGGAGTTCAATTAAAAAATACAAAGTGTGAGGATCGAAAAAACCTAATTGAGAGTGCAATTGAAATGGTTAAAACCCAAGATTTTAATTGAAAGAAGTAAAGGGTACTATTGCAAAAAGAACCAAACAAATCAACACTAAAATTAAAAATTAAGGAAAGCCAAGGACTAAAACTAATGTTTGCCTAAAATCCTAAATTTTTCCTATAAATACCCAACTTCTTCTCCATTTAAGATGGACATAGATCTCAAAAGAACAAAAACTTAAAAAACCCAAATAATCATCCAAATAATCCCTAAGAAACAATCAAACCCGGATCCTAGACCCGTTTACCGGTAAACCCACCTACGCTTCTCTTCCAAAATCGACCACCCTTCTATCGATATCTCCTCCAATCGCCACCATCACCAATCGATAGCACACATTCGGATCCATCATTCCCGATCGATTGGAGGAGAAGAGGACGTTGGAGGAGGGAGAAATCGAGGAGAGAACCATGGGGACTCGATCCGATTTCCAACCCACAAATATCCAACAATTTCGACCAAACCACCGACTTTCGCCACCACGGAGCTGGTCGATCGACTCTCATTAACGGTTCCCTTATGGAATCTCGACCAAAAGTCATCGAAAAATGGACCAATTAATGACCATTCGTTTTTTAACCCATTTTTCACAATACAAAAAAATTGGTCGATTAAGGCTAAGTTAGATCCCCTAATCACCATAGAAATACTTCTCCCATCAACCTTATGAATTGATTGGCATGCTCGGAATCCCTTAACATCGTCAAAATCGTCATCAATAAGAGGAAAAAATCGTGCCAAACTTTGGAGCATCTAATCTCCCTCCTTCAACTTCATCCACTGCTACAACTATTACCATTGAGTTTGCGATCACCTCCTCTATAATATAGGGTGGGTCATGTGCCTAAAAGACCACCGAAGTTGAAAGGACGATCGGCAGTGGTTGTTCATCTTCTAGAGGCATTTTAGTAATTTTGGAGTACATGAGTATTTTGATATTTTTCACGTGCATGGGCATTTTGATTATTTTACAACCGACCAATGGTGTTCCCGTCACTCGTATAATAGCCTTCTTAATACACACAAACAAAGATTTCCTCATTCTCAATCGATCGAAATAACTAATCATCATCGAGATTGAAAGAAGTAAACTAATCCGAGGAATGCAATTCGACATTCTCACGACATTTGGGTAACTTTTGAAGTTATTTGGATTCTTTTAAATGATAAATGAATGTGATATAATATGTTGTGAATGATTATAATTGTTGCATGTCGCTTTGTTTGTTAGAAATGAAGTTGTCGACGACTTCCTACCTATGTGGATGAAGCCATCCGTAACTTTCGAATCATTTGACCAGCCTTTTTCTTTGTCCGAAATGAAACTATCGAGAGCTTTTCACTTATGTGGATGAAGTTGTCGAGTGGCTTTCAAACCAATTATCTCGCTCTTGCTTAAGCAAAATGAAGTTGTTAGTGGCTTCTCAATTATATGATGAAGTTGTCGATAACTTCTTAAATCCATAACCAAAAGTCATCGATTAAATCCATAACTAAAAGTCATCGACGACTTAAAAAGTTATTGACGACTTCCCACTTATATAAGTGAGGTTGTCAATAACTTGCTACTCATGTTAATAAAAGGCCGTCAATCTTTAAAAACTCACCTACTTGTCGGTATAAGTCGTGTTTGCTAAAGATTAGATAAAATTCCAATTTTTCTCACCTTTCCTTCTTTAGTATGGGTTTTAACCTCAAACCAAACCAAACCCCAAATTACTTTGCTATTATAACTCGATAAATAAATTCATTCAAATAAACATAGAAACATAATATAGTAAAACCAAATTTTTGTTCTCACATGTAAACATTGCAACCTACCTAGGATGAGATGGCGGTGATGTTACATTTTCTCCATACGTGATCGATTCCTTACCTAGATATTTTTATAAAATCAATATATTTTGGGTTTTCTAGTTCTTTTCGATTGGCTAAGTGGTGATTCCTCTCTTCTTATGTTTACCCCCATAGACCTACGTCGACGGAATGATAACTCCACTAGGGATATACCGTGCTAGGGTTAAGCTTTGAGACTTTGTGTCCATGAATCTCCGGTTGTTTGTTATGCTTCTATGCCCGATGTGCCCAAAAGTGTATTAGAAATTAATAGGCAAATTACTCGCAAGTGCACGAGGTGATTACGGTACAATTGAGTTAACCAAGGTCATATTCTCCAGGATATGTAATTGGCATAAAATAATTCAATTCCAATTGCAAACAATGATAATCAAATAAAATTCTAAACACTCTAAACCAATTTGCGTTTGATGATTATGAATTAAATTGAGAACATAAAACAACTACGGAGTAATCGTAGCGAAGCTGAAAATAAAGATCAAAGTGAGAGAATTCTTGAGAATATAACTTCACCGATTAAATCCTATATTTAATCAAAATAACTTAAATGATTATTCATACAAATCTCTTCACTAAGTTACTTGGATCTCTCATTCATAACCTAGTGTCTATGATTCTTTAGTCTAATATTGAGTTATATTTGATCAATATCAACCCAATATCACGAGATATATAATTATTGGCCGAGCATTTATATATAAATAATCCCAAAATCATAGATGCAAGACAAGAATAATCAAATTAACTATTCAATTAAACATATTCAAATAACGGATCCATTAATTCTCAAGACAGAAACTAGTTCATAGTTGACAGATAAACATTCACCGAATTAATCACAATAAATTCCATATCTTTACAATCAAGAATTGAGAGCAATAAAATCGAGTTTAGGAAGAAATCTGGTTTTTCTTTTGCTCCAGTCGAGGTTGATCTCTTTCTCGCTTTGGCCCCGTTTTCCCTCGATCTCCTCCCTCTCTTTAATGGCTATCTCGTAGAGAATAAAAGCTACTCGAACTCTACTCTGTTTTTTCGCCGTGCCCTCTTTTTATCCCGCCTGGGATTTTAAATTCGAGAGAGTCGTGAAATATCCTCCTTAAAATCCTCCTCAATCTCTCCCTTTTCCTCTTTATTCGTCGATCCTTAAACGTTAATCCCCGAAAATTTGCTCACCGAAAATTTGCTCACGGTCGTGGGCTTTTCTTCCTTTCGAAACTCACGATCGTGGGGTCCTTCCCTTTTTCAGCTCACGGCCGTAAGCCTTTTTCTTCTTTTGAAACTCACGTACTGTCGGCTTCCTTCTTGTTGGATCACGACCGTGAGGCCTTCTTCTTCTTTGGGAGTCACGGTCGTGACTCCTCCGCTTTGCTAAGTCATGGCCATGACCCAAAATGTCATGGCCGTGACATTCTCAATCGTTTAATTTTTTTTCTTTTCTTTTTTTACCTTTGAACCTAATTCAAACAAACACTCACAATCTATTAAAAACATACTAAAAATAACAATATTGATAACCTAAAAATAATAAACAAATCACATAAAAACTTACTAAAAACCTAGAATTATTTTATAAAATTTAATATAAAAAACTATTAAAATAATATATAAATAATAAACATAACAAAATTCCCCACACTTCAACATTGCTTGCCCTCAAGCAAAGAGAAAATAAAGAGCAAAGGCTACACACATAAATATACATACTTCTCATATAAAGCGAAAAGAATCCTCTAATCTTGGCATAAATAAAAATGAGCTTCAAGTACAATAAAACTTCATGAATGAACAATCAATACAAACTCGGACTCTAGAAATAAAACCGTTCAACTCACGGAGCAATCAATTATCCGTACAAGAAGGTCACTCATCTCTTAGTTCACTCAAGTGTTTAAGGGATAATGAAATTTCACTCAACGTTCAATTTATGTGAAAATGCTACCATATGCTTGCTTATTCATCCAATTACTACCACCGTTATCACTTACATGCAAAAATCGAAGGTCTTTATTCGGGGTTGTAATGAGGTCTGGGCTAAAGGTATGAAATTTAGGAAACAAAAGCTAAACCAAGAACTAACAGAAGCAATTAAAACTTAAACAAATAAATTTATTCCCAATGATGCATAATTCCCTCTATCGTGGGCCCTCTGCAAACTATGGTTTTTTATTTTTTTTTATTTTTTTTTAAATAGAGGTAACTAGCTTGCTTTTATCCTCCATCTCCACTC